TGGTTCAGAAATCGCAAATCTTTTTATTGTGGATGGATTGTCTTCCATAGCTATTAGTAAGCTATCATCAACTGTGTCAACTACCGCTGAAAACGAACTGGCTGAATCAGTTGAGGTTAGCAGGAAGCGGACCAAATCCTTGTCTGATAAGGTGAGCAGTATTCATATCGCTGGACATGGGAAGTCCAGTTATGAGACGCCGACAATGAAACATCATCGTGAAATTTTGCAATACAAACTAAACTAAAGTTGGAGTGGGAAATACTTAACGGACTTCAAAAAATATTATATAGTCATATTCACACGAAAATGTGTTAACTATCATGTTTTAAAATATGAATTGAGAACCTAAAATAACATGAAGGCGTTAACGGTAATACGCCAAACTGTTTTCGGATATCATGCACAATATGACAAATACCAGAATACTTGTTTAGGAAAGTCTTCATTCTTCATTTTTACGAACCACCTGACACCTGTGTTTGATATTTAAAAGGTTCAGGCTTCTCTTCTTAAATTGACTGTATTGTACTGTGTTGTGTTTGTTCTCGAAACTATAAATTTGCTTGCGAATTCTTATGTTGTCTGGGTTTGCTTATTGACGTTTGAGTATTGGCATTCCATCTATTATCTAAACATTTTAACATAGATTTTCTCTTCAATCCCTTAGAAATGGAGTTAATACAGTAATAAAATATAGCATACTAGCTTAATTTTTAACAAAAGCTGCATTTAAAATATATATTTTTATTGATTTGTTATTTTCTGTTTTTCAAGTTACACTTTTATCTTTTCCAATAGTTGTTAGTAATATAACATGACTGAAACGTATACCATTCTTGAATAAGACAATAAATATTTACCTTTCACCTCATATAGGAGACTATTATTAGGACATGTTCATTGGAGGAAAATGGCCTGAAATCTGAAAAAGATTGGCATATAAGATCATTACAACAATTATTTTTATTTATGATTACGCTTGCCTCTATCTCACCAACACTGATGCGATTTATTTGTAATATCGTTGGTACAGAATATTAGGAGGTTATTTTTTAAGAATCCACGAAATTAAGTTCTCATTAAACTGTTGAAATTTCATAAAAATCGACTTACAAAATCAATATGAGGCATGTATCGACATTAAACATCTGTTTATTGTCGATGTAGCGTGGAGCGATACACTTATTTGTAGATATCCCAAGGTTTGTTTTCCACGTACGTCTGGTATGTAACAAATATGGTGCTCTCGGTCGTTCATTATTGTTTTAATACCCAATTCGCTGACTGGAATTGCATTGAAATCGATTCTGTAATGGTAAAATAATTACTATAGTGGAGTTTGATAGTGTATTTTATTTAGATGAATTAATTCCTTGAATATGTTGATTTAGTTACGAACTATTTTTTCAGGAAAAGATGCTCTTGAGGCATGGCCGAAACCCATTACATGCTGGCACGTATGGGTATACTTTCCGCGAGACGGCAATTACGGAAATGATTTTCCATTTATTACTCAAACGGGATTTGTGAGATTTTCAGGCGGGAAATAAAATTTCCGTAAGCATTCAGACATTATAGCCACAGAAACATGAACTTTGGTATCAGTATCATGGAAACACGTTTTTTTTTTCATGTGAATTTGATAATGTATAAGGTAGATGTATAAGCATATGTTATTTACATCTGTGTGTGGGATTTACGCTCTCGGCGTGCATTAGACTTCCGTACCTTAGGTTACAAGCAGTCAAAATAGCTTCGTTCAATCGAACTGAAAGAGAAAATGAGCTTTCAACAATTTAAGGCTTTACAAGTGATATATAAGGAAGTTCACTATGTGATTAGCTTGTGAGATATGGTTTTATCCTGAAATACACCTTGCGGATATAATGTTTATAGAGCTAATCTCTACTTAATACATCATTTAATATGACTCTTCTCTGTTTGGTTTGTGAACGAATATCCCGATATGTCGTTTGATAACAACGTATTAGATAATCGGCTATATTACAATTTTCATCCTGTATAATTTCCCAATTGATACCATAATTAGTCATACATAGCAGCTGCGCCCTCATCACCGTATAATATATTGCATTATCCGTATATAACCTCCCACAGATTGTGTTGTCTCGTGGCAACGATATTGCAAATGATACCGTTTCACCCACTGTGCTACGGAGTCTATATTAAGAACATCGACAGGTCGCGAACGTAATTTACTATAGGCGATCACAGTGACAGCTCTAGTATACAAAGCGAAGTCTTCCGACAACAGCGGGGCATGTCAAATGTACAGTTGACAGCCGTGTGGCGAAACGAGTCTGTGTGTGGAAAGAAATATCGTATTACTCCTAATGTGAGTGGAACATGTTGAGCAAAACACACGTTCTTATGGGATCACATAGAATCCGTTGAAGACAAGCAGTAAGTATATTACAATCGAATGTATTGTGAGATAGGGCCAAACATATACAAAATATAGACACAATGAAAAAAGTAATGTTGGCATATGGATTATTAATAGTTGGATTCCTTCCGACCTTTTGAATTTCGAAATCGTTTTTATCGACCATTTAGTGTTTGAAGTGCGTTAACTAGTTGTATCCACAGCCTGTAAAATAACGTTACAACACTGCTAATACATGAAGATGCATTTGTTTTATATTTTATAATTTTGTCAATTAAAGCATATGAATATCATGTTACCCTCAGTGCTAATTGCTTGTAATTCGCCTTGTAAACGGTTTGCATAACTCATAGTTTCATGATATGTCGTTTTGTTATTTCCGCTAAACTAAGAAATATATGCTCGAATCTTTTTGACTCTATGTTGCATGCTTGTCGTAGAGACTACAGAAAAAAACAGAGGGTCTAATTATGTGTTGAAATAGACCAATTAATCAACTGAGCAGCCGCGTGGAATCGATATTACCTTGTTTTCTTTTAATGCATCGATGGGCAGATTATACACTGCGTGTTTTTAAGACTTAAAATTATTATTTTCTTTCGAGCAAGGTGAAAAAAACGAATCTCATAATGGATGTTAAGAAACTTGTATTACTTCTGGTTAACTGGCCATTTTTTCCTTAAATTTGATCAGTTCTGCAGGCGATAGGTTGCCATGTTGGTTTCTTCTTGTGGACTAAAAATGAATCAGGTCAGTAGGGCAGGTGATTAATTCTTAATTTTAAACTTGATTTACCCCATTTTTAAATATTTTGTCATTTTGTTTTGTCATAATGTAAACACGCCATGCGATACATTTGTAAATCTATTAAATTGGTAGCAAGGTATATTATTACTGATAATTAGAATCGTATACATTATTTTAGAAACCTCCGTGTCGTCATAGATGTAAATCACACTGCGTTAGAACTCGTAAATCTCGTAAATCTGGTGGCGATATATCGAAACAATATAACGTTGGCTCTTATTTATTCACTCAAATCAATCGACTTGAATGTTATACAATGACACGGGTTTCACTTCACTATGATAATACCGCTGGGCATCTGTCATAATCTATGATACATAATGAAATGTGAAAACTAATAGTATATATGCATGTTTATCAATTTCTAACAGAATACAATAATATTTATAACGACCATAATGGGAATATTTACAATGGCGTTTCGTTAAACCTTTTCCCGTTTGTATGTTGAATCTGACATCGTTTAATCCTAAAAATGTATTTGTTTAATGCCGCAGTGCCCAATCTTCCTAGCAGATTCTCTCACACTACACATTGATATGTTCATATTCATCAAGCAATCAGAAAATTATAAAATATAGTCTTAATAGATTACAAACACAAACATACGTTGTTATACATCTATGGTCACTCCTATTCTAAAACGAAAAATGTTTTTTTTCTAACGTATATTACAGTATACAACGAGAAATGAGATGTGCTCTCGCGCCTATTTTTCATTACAAATTAGTGAAATGTATACAAATATAAATCATAATTTGGAAATGAATTCCTTTATCCCAAATTGTGTTCAACTTGGAAATAATTTAGCACAATTAAAGAAGATTTCATGTATCTAAAGTGTGTTACCGGCATAGCTCCCCAACTCAGTGATCACACACAATAATTATTATTAATTGCGTATTTTGCGGAGGAATAATAAGACTGTATACAGTTTAACAATGATTGGCTATTCCTATGAATTAACGAGAAACAATTTTATCAAACCAGACACAAATATATTGACGAAGATACACTGGAGACGCTATTACTGGTAGTATAAGCACAATTAATCCAATTTATAAAACAAACAAAAGTGTTTTAGCACTGTGCATCTCATTATGTGCAACGTTGATTAACTTGTGGTGCTTTATACATTTAGACAATGTAGTTGTCAAATCTCATTCCCTGCATACTTTACAATTAAAATTATAACTATAATACAATATAGTCTACCCAGATACACAATCCCCTTTTCGTCTTGCACTGATCAACATCAAGTAATTACTTTGTCAGCTGACAGAAGTTCAAATGTTTATACATAAACTTAACTCGTTCTTATTGATATTGAAACCTTATTTAAAGTCTGTCTTTTGATTGTGTCAAGTCATCCTCCTGAATTGAAACGTGTTTATTATAAATATTGAGTATTAAACACATTACGCCTACGCGTGTTTATCGTCTCGTTGAGGCTTTGTATTTTTCGACCATGCACTAAAATTTGGTATTACACAGAAGGCCAATATTACCGAAGCATGGATATTGTTCCGTCATTAATAATACCCGTCGTGTTTGTTTTCTATCACTTACAGGTGAATATGTATTATCGTGTGCAGTACCTAACTGGAAATGACCCTGAACGTAGCTAGAATCTGTTTGAAGATATATCGCATTTATAATACTGATTCATATACCGCCCGTGCAAGTGTTTTTTGTTATTTATTTTAGGTGTATATACCGGCACATTATAACGGGATACATTCTCGGTATTACGAATGCACACTTCCGACTTCTTAAATAAACTATGCAGACAATTGATATAGCAATACTTGGCGCCCCTGCAGTGGGTAAAACTGCTATTATACAACAGTATAAAGATTGCACGTTTCCGGACCAGCATTTCCCAACAAAAGTAACTTCGAAATATTCACCAGTTGTTTTATCAAATCAGCATCTTTACCAACTGAACATTATTGACACACCTCCACTGCAGTACTTCCAAATGAGAAGTTTCTATGATTGGGTGGACTTTCAGTCATATTCGGGTGAAGTGAAAGATGCCTCGGCGTTTATTCTTATATTCGATGTATCTAATTCTGACAGTTTCCAGTACGTCAAAGACTTACGAGAACAGATATTGGATTATCGCACGAGCGGTGTGGGTGAAATACCGATGGTTGTAGCTGGTAACAAGAGTGATTTAGGTAAATGCAGTGGACTGTTCAAACGAGACATGGCGCATATCATCCGAAAGAACTGGAAATCCGGTTACATCGAATGTTCAGCGAAATATAACTGGCATATCGTGGCGTTATTTAGTGAGGTTATGAAGTTGATATGTGAATATCGGGATAAACCGCCAACTGCCAGGAAGAGAGGCGGACTGAGGCGTAATAGTTGTACCATAATGTGAAAATGTATACATCTGACAGAATTACAATCAGATCACGTAAAATTCGTCTTGCTGAATTTCAGACATTTGCCAGTCGATAACTATGTCAATAAATAGAACAACGTGTAACGATTCACACTAGCATTTTCTTCGAAACGCCATATGTTGGAAATTAACATAAATGATTAGAATTGGTTAAACCAACGTTGTCATGTAATAATTCCGCAGTTTGTAGTTGTGTGGTTCTATCCTACAACATCCAATACGTGTAATCGCTGTTTCGCTGTTGGTAATGATGTTTTTTACATTCTATCAAGGACTACTTTGCCCTTGAAGTGGTGTCTAAAACAATGATCGATAAACTTCGGTCATCTTTATGTGGTTAAATTTAAACAAAATAAATCAAAACCACAGATATTGTAGCTTCAATAAACTGCAAACACAGTAAATAGGTACAAACTGGTTCCCAGGCTGGTCTCTTGAGGTTCCATCAATCCCGGTCTCCATTAAATGAGCCAAATGTTAGAATACTTGTTTTCCTGAAAGGCTTTCAACTACAAACAATGCTAAATATGATATGATCACGAATACATCATACTTCTAAGTTATGAAATCAATTTAATATGATACTACAAAATAATGTTTAATTAATAGATATATCGCTGCCCCGAGGTTTATTGAAATATAAGTTACTATACATTTAATAATTGGTCTGTCGATGAAATACACTGTGCTATATAATTATAAGTAATTTCATTATCCAGGATTGTATCGCATTTGATAAATGTGTGGTAGAAATACTGCTCCAACAATTTTTTGGTGCGCCATTTGTGTGGTGAAATGTATTTATAATCAGGGGTATAGAAGGAGAACACAGGCATAAATCCACAAATAAAACAATGTTGCCACACATTGAGTGATATTGCAAAGTAAATAAGTTAATTACTACTCCTATTCTTACTCCGACTTTCCTGACGTCTGCAATTTAACGAAGGCAGCCGAGTGAATTCTGAGCATATATTATTTATGAGTGCTCATTATACATGACTTAATTAATGATATGATATGATATGATTTATTTAGTACAACCAGAACAAAGAAGAGGAAAATATCATCCAATATTGTACAAGAAAATAGTAAATTTGTCGGTGGTCGTACATTATGTCCCTAACATTGAATGAGAAAATCGTTAGTTGCGTAATCAATGCATAAATTACGAATACTAATTTTTTAGCAGTGTATCATTTATTTTATCTAAAATAAATAGTATTGACCTTAACTTGAAATGTACATTACGGAATATGTGTATTGAACGTTTTGTATTCAGTAGATAAAGATATTATTAAAGCATTGAATTCCTGAATGACATTGGTTATTAATTTCGTACCACACATACGTGTTTAGTAAATATCGAAATGCCATATTCGATAAAACATGGCATTTGATAAAATATGGCATGAAACGACTTAACACTGAAACACATCCACCCTAAAAACGTATTGTGCGCGTATTTTCACATGTTGAATGGTATGGAAACCGACTGAAAATATAGTATAGCTACATCGACGATACAAATATTTTAGTCGCTTGCTTCTAATTCAAGTTTCTTGAAGTTCTTAAATATTTTGAAGATTTATTTTATCTTCAGATTCCACAATCCACTTGAGTGTAAGTGTTGACCTAGATGAAGACTCAATGTTAGTTTAAGTGGTAATAATATTGTTAGTATCTTAGTATTTGTTCAGGTATTACCAACAATTATAATTGTAATACCTTGCAAGTTAATTTTCTTAAATAATTTGAAACTCTCCCTAAATATTAAAATTTGTAAATTTATTAGTTTTACCACAAAAAAAGTCCTGCGTCTTTAACACTGTATACTACATTAGTAACATAACATTACTGTGTCCGATTGTAAAGGTAATGGTATCAGGAGATTACAAATCACTGGGTTCTCAGGCGCACATGTTAACCTATATGTTCGTTTAGTACTCAAATATGAATCACTTATATGGTCGTCTCTTTAGTAAGTGCTTCCGGGTAAGATTGTGTGTTTCCAATCTGTATGTAAAAAATATGAGTCGTAAATTACGTGCTCGCTGTAGTACATCTAGATATCTCATAGTGTCAGATTTTAAGAATGCCAATACTACACACTAAAAGAAGCTTTATTGACATGTGTTCGTTAATGTATTTGTTTTGTCTTATGAGTGATCCGTTGTTTTTTATTCAGATCAGTAAGTAGGTGTGCCCGATGCTCTTTGTATGAAATGAATAAACACATAAATCAAACATGTATAAAAATACGCGTATTCACTTTTAAATTAATTATATGCAAATATAAATCTACCTAACACGAGTGCATATTTCGCACTGTTCATTAGTATTATATAACGCTGAACTACAAGGCCTTTACAAATTTACCAAAATATATGCATAACGGACCGTTTTGTATGAGAGTGTAAAGTACATTATTATCTATGTTAACCTACTTTGAAAGAATCATATGTTACAATATAGACAGTTGTATTTCTCCACCCTTCTCTACTGTTTTTGTTGTTTTATAATATTTATAATACTCCATATCGTATTTTTATTTATATCATTTCATTAGAAAATACACAAAAGCTAACTGCCAAAATGGAAATGTATGTTATGTATATTGAATGACAATGTGGCAATGTCTGAGCATATAGCTTAATACAATAACATTTCTCTTTGCATAGGTCACTTATAACAACAGAAAACATTACGTAATACATTGCCCAGCCTATATGACGCCATAAATACAACACAAATAAAAACCATGATAGTTCACATAGTTCACTTTTCTGTGAACTGATAAAAGACAGAAAGTCGTCAAGGCGTGAATAATGGTTGTAAAAAGACGAAGTAATGATATATGTTTAGGGATAGTGTTATAATTAATTAACAAATGAATGAACACAAAACTTGTCAAGCTTATATATGTACATCTTCGTTGTAACATAGTGAAACGATAAGGAGAGTAATGGAATCGAATATTTATGCTAATTTAATTTAGCTATTTGTTTCTGAAACGAATTCCAAACTATAAAGCGCGTTCATTTATACATTATCTAAATATTCGTTTCATGTCAATGCTTGGCGTCATTATTGTAGAATTAGTGTGTCATTATTGTAGAATGTTTTTTTTTTCACTTAAATCACTTGTTTGTGGCCGCGAGGGAGGTTTTAGTACATTTAAGGTATATGATATGTACACAACTTTGTAACATATGAATTGAGCAATGTGAGTGTACGTCAGAGTGAGTTGCACGTACGGAGAATACAAGTAGTCAGACATAATATTGCCATTACGCCATCTTACTCGTCATACTACTGAGGTTCATATGATAGTGCTCCGATTACTTCACTGCACGTATAGAAGATACACGGATAAACAATGCGCGTGATTCACCACAAGAAACATGGGGTGTATGAGCGTTTCGAGTCATGCCTCGTGACACGCAGTACTCTTATTGCACTTCCCATGCATCGTGATCACCGCCAATGTACATTCACGATTACTGCCAATCCAAATGATGTTAACTTATCCAATTTTCAAGGAAATTGTTGAGAGATGTCCTCGATGCGAAGCATTCCCAAGAGTGCAAGGCACTATTTTTTGAATCCCTGAAGTAGAATGTAAACAATGTAATTGGATTGTCCCAATAAAGAATTCATTAGGTTTAACGAAATATAACTTCTCAGAGTTTGTTGATTGTTTGATAATATTGTGCAATCTTAATAATACAGTATATTAAAATTGCTTAAACGTCAATCATGTCATGTGAACAAGGCAGCATTATATCTCGATATCGTAACTCCCCGGCTGAAAACATGACATACAGATATGATGATAATACATGGAACAATAATGCATGTGTGTATGTTCGTGGTATGCCTCTAATTATCATCATCATCTATATGTCAGTTTAACATTGATCTGCATGATCCATGAGTTGCATTAAGAAAGCATACGTATTCCAGCTATGTATGTAAAATGCACATTGTTACGATAAACGAATGTGCAAGCCGACATTATTTGTCTTCTTTGTAATGTTTCATTTATATGGGTTTATGTTGTTTGGATACCAAAATTCAAAAGTTTTTTTTTCATTGAGATACACAATTGAAAAAACAAAAGTAAGTGTGATATTTTTTTTCATTTTATAAAATAGGAAGGTCCATATAATGCTTTGTTTATATATGTGGATTAACATGCTCAGTAATGACAAACCTAAATTCGGCTCAAGCCCAAGACAAATGTTTATCGATTTAAATTCGAATTTTTTTTTCCAAGGACTAAGTTTTGTCAATACTTAATAATAATAACAACGTCACCTGGATTGGTAATCTCATTTACATATTGAGAAAAATTGTATAATCTGGAGAATATAAACTGTCACATATTATATAGTTAAGTGTGTTATTTATGTTAATTCTAGCTTAGTAATTACTGAGACAGTTAACAATCAAGTTATAAAGTAAATAAGTGAGAACTATTTTAAACAAAAAAACAATATTCGAAGTAAAACTGGTGGTTATCTATTATACACTTGACGTGGGAAACAGATGCACAGAATCAAGGATCATATGACTCTCGCCACTCAAAAAATAGTATTATTGCGAGTGTTTTGTTTTTAATGAATGCAATCATTTCATGACACATACAGATATACATATCAAGTTGAAACAAAATTAATTGAATAAACAAAAACTGATATCACTTATCAGACAACTTAACTCTCTTGGGTGATTTGATGCTCAACAGAAAAATAGTATACAGATATAGGCAGTCTCAGCATGTTTTACTCAGTCTTGTACAGTCAAATGTATAAATAGTACAATTATGCTACAGTGTAACATTGATTCTTATTACCGATCGTGTCATATCAACCATTTTTTTGCATAACCCGACAATATTATATTGGATATTTTTTTCCACTGTGCAGACTTCTCATAATGCAACAAATTTAAACTCACGTTTTTTATTGCAA